CACGGCGCTGATTGCTGGACGCATATTCATTCAGTTACACCCTAGCCCCTAGAGAGATAGGATCATGGTTATCCCTCTTTGGCAGGTGGAGAAACCCCCATACGGTTTAGTGAAGCCTTGCCCAAGACCACAGAGCCAGAAGTGGCGGAGCTGTGCGGCGGCCCGGACCCGCGAACCTCTGGGAAATACTGCCCCCTAGTGCCAGCTGGGGTCAGACTGTGCAATCCGATGGGCCTGGGTTTTAATCTGAATTCATTCCTGGCTCACAGGCTGGGTGACCGTGGACAAGTTATTTAGCGTTGGCCTTGCTCGGCTTCACCTTCCTCATCTGCAAAACGTGGTTGCTTGAAATGACGTCAAAAGGCGGTTACGGAATGAAATGTGATGATGGGTGCCAAGTGCTCACTGCATCATGAAATACTCCAGCACTGATACAGCAAGAAATGAATGAATGAGGGTTGCCTGGGTCCACTCCGCCCTCCAGAGATGCCCCCACCCTGGCATTGGCCAGCCACCCCTCCCCCCTCTTGAGCTCCTCCCCCACAGGGTGCGGGTGCATGGGCACAAGAGCTGTTAGGGGAACCTCCAGCTTTTTATAGGTAGGGACCCCTCATAGAAGAAATCCAAAGCCCTTAGAGTCTTTGCTGCCATATAGCCAGAGCCTGGGACACACAGTGTCAGTGAGCAAGTGAGTCCAGGGTGAGAAGGTGCCAGGAGAGATCAGGGGCTCCCCTGAGTCCCACTGGACCATTTGAGCTACCAGGAGAAGATCCTCAAGGACGGCACCCTCTCCATGATGGGACCCCAAGTTCTGCCAAGTAAGCACAGGCCCCACCCCCACTCCTTGGTCACTACACGTTTCCATGTCTCCATGCTCATTCATGGACTAACAAGTGACCCCACTCCCACTGGGTGTTTCCAGGTAGCGTTTCCCCGTGGCCTCTGGGGCTCACAGCCTCTGGGCTCCAGCACTGACCTCTTAGCGACCCTGCTCAGTAGGACAGAACAGATGAGTCTTCCTTTGCTCCTTCCTTTATTTTCCCCTTAACATGGGAAAGTGTCTTTGTTCTTGGGATTATAGAAGTAATATATGTTATTGGGGAAAAAAAAATCCAAATACTGCAGAAGCATCTAAAGAAGAAAGCAAACCAACCACTCCTAAAGTATGCTAGGTAGCCCCTTAGATGGTGCAGATATGGCTGTCTTCACCCAAGCAGGACTGGAACGTTCCACCACACAGTGGCTTGGGACACTGCCCCTTCTCTCCCATGTTCGGTGACTACAAACAAGTTACTCAACCAAGAGTGCCTCGGTTTCCTCATCTATAGAATGGAGATCTGAATATTCTATCTACTTCTAAGGTTATTAAGGAATCAAATGAAATAATCTCCTCCAAGACCGTGGTACAGGGCTTGGCACACAGTGAGAACATAGAAACGTTAGCTCCTGGGGCGCCTGGGTGACTCAGTCAGTCAAGCTTCTGACTTCAGCTCAGATCATGATCCCAGGGTCCTGAGATGGAGCCCCGAGGCCGGATTCTGTGCTCAGTGGGGAGTCTGCATGTCCCTCTCCCCTCCCCCTACCCACCACATGTGGTCTCTCTCTCTCAAATAAATAAAATCTTAAAAAAAAAAAAAAAAGAAGTGTTAGCTCCTTCTGCTGTTATTCCTCACTGAACACCTCACGGCCGTCTTCCCAAGGCAGCACACTAAGATTCAAGCCTTCTCGTCCAGCAGCCGTGCCGTTCCCCCTGCGAGGACTCAGCAGTTTGTCTATGAGTCCCTCTGTGTGAGTATAAGTTTACAGGCCTCGATCTCCTCATTTGGATGGATATTTATGTAGTTCTCAACTTGGGGGAACTATTATAAATGATGTCCAGGAGTCTTGTCACACTGGTAACTGTGGGTCAAGAGGTTAGCATGCTGGGGTGGGCAAGTTCAGAATTCTGGCATGTGCACAGTTAAAAAATTTGGGATTTGCAGGGCTCAGTACTCGGGTCTCCTTCTGTTTCATGCATGCGTTGAAACCCATCTCGGGGATGATGGCTCCCATGTCTACATCCCCAGCCCAGACCAGGTGCCGGGGCTCAGATGCCTAACTACTTACCGGATGGGGCCGTGAGTGGGCGCCTCAGCTGTCACTTGTCGGCGGCAGAGACCCGATGTGTTGCTGCTCCCCAAGCTGCCCCTCTCAGGGCTTCCTCATCTGGGTCAGCAGCAGCTCTGTCCTCCATGCTCTCAGGTCAGAGGCCTCACTCGGTGTCACCTTTGGTTCCTTCCTCCTGTCTCGCTATGTTCACTCTGCAAGGGAATCTCTGTTCTATCTTTAGAATTAAGTCCAGAATCCAGTCCCTTCTCATCACCTCTCTCACCTGGATTGCCACAACAGCTTCAAAACTGCTTCTACCCTCACCTCGTTTGCTCTAATGCAACAAGCAGCAGGAGGGAGTCTGTCAAAACAAATCAGATGCCCCCCTCCACCCCAGTGACTCTCCATCTCACTCAGCCCTCAGCGGGGCCAACACCTGTCTTCCCCAATCTCACCCCAAGTTTAGCGATTATCTGATGTCTTCTCTTCTCTTTCCTGCCCATACTGCTCCAGCCACACTCATGGTTCTTTACATGTGCCAGCTAGGATTCCACCTCAGGACCTTTGCACTTACTGTTCCCTCCTCCCAGAACCCTCTTCCCTCTGGTATCTGTGTGGCTTCCTTTCTTACTTCTTTCCTTAAGGTTATTTTTTTATTATTATTTTTTTTAAAAGATTTTATTTATTTATTTGACAGAGAGAGAGAGATCACAAGCAGGCAGAGAGACAGGGGGAAGCAGGCTTCCCACTGAGCAGAGAGCCCAATGTGGGACTCAATCCTAGGACCCTGAGATGATGACCTGAGCCAAAGGCAGAGGCTTAACCCACTGAGCCACCCAGGCGCCCCTTTCCTAAAGGTTATTTAGGTTATTGTTCAAACATCTTCTCAGTGAGGACTTCCTTAATTTTCCTTTAAACACACAAACGTAAACATAGACACACACACACACACACCCCATTCTGTTTTCTGTCTTGTTCTTTTCTTCCACTAGGGCGACCAACTATTCTGGTTTGCCTGGAACCAAGGCGTTTCCTGGAACCTGAGAACTTTCAGTGTTTTGTTTTGTTTTGTTTAAGTTTTATTTATTTAAGTGATCTTTACACCTAACATGGGGCTTGAACTCACGACCCTGAGATCAAGAGTTGGATGCTCCACAAACTAAGCCAGGGAAGCGTCTCTGAGAACTTTCAGTTTTAAAACTAGGAAAGTCTGGGATGATTTGTCACTCTATTTAAGCACTCATCACCTCTGATGATGTATTTATTTTGTTGTATAAGAATATAAACTCCATGAAGGCAGACATTTTCGTCGGTCTCATTCACTGCTATCTCCACAGTACAGGAATTGCATTTGGCTCCTATCAAGACACTCAACAAATATTTGTGGAATGAAAGAACGAACTCATGGCTGGGCTGGTTCCAGAGAGACTGTGCCAATGAGGTTTTCTTGGGCTTTTTAAAATACCCTACAGCAGGGAGGTAGCCTCAGGTTGGGCGCAGGCAAACTGTTGGGCCGGGAATGGAGCAAAGATCTATGGCTCGTCCATTTTGCCTTTTTTTTTTTTTTTTTTTTTTTAAAGATTTATTTATTTATTTGAGAGAGAGAGAGAGCATGGGGAGGGACAGAGGAAAAGAGAAATGTTAGCAGACTGCTCCCTGAGTTCAGAGCCTGATGCCGGGCGGATCCCAGGACCCTAAGATCATGACTTGAGCCAAACACCTAACCCACTGAGCCACCCAGAGGTCCCCGTGTTTTGCCTTCTTTAAGGGCAGAGCCCCGCTGGCCGGCCTGATGGAAAGGGTTCAGGGTGTCAGGGCCCACGCTGGGATCACTGCTACCCCCTAGTGGTCCCTCTGGGAAAAGCAGCCTCACCTGGGAGCCCAGGGCAGGACAAGCGTGTTCCTGCCCTCTCCTCCTCCTCCCACCTTTTCCCTCTTTCCACTCCCCTCCCCTCTCTGCTTGCCTGATGGAAACAGCTTTGATGTGGCTCTGGCACCCACCAGCCGTAGGACCTGGAGCCAATAACTAAACCTCTTTGGGACTCAGTGTCCTCATCTGGAAAATGGGGATTGTAACTCCTGAGGGTGAAATGAGATAGTCCAGTTCACACCCAGTGCAGTGCCTAGCCCAGTAGATGTTTATTATTTATTATTCTGATTATTATCATGTCTGGCACTCAACAGGTGCTCAACCATTGCCAATTTGCTTGCTCTCTTCTTCATCTGGGTAGTCCAAGCTGAGACTCAGGATGGTACTCCTAAAGCATTCCCGTGCTTCCCTCACCCCAGACCAATGAAATCCACAATCTTAGTAATGGATATGGGCATTGGTATTTTTTAAATTTTCAGGGTTTTTAAAAATCTTTTTTTTAAGGTTTCTTTTTTTTTTTTTTTAATTTATCTGAGACAGAGAGAGAGCATGCATGAGTGGGGCAGGGAGGGGCAGAGGGAGAGGGAGAAGCAGACTCCCCACTGAGCAGGGAGCCTGATGTGGGGCTCGATCCCAGGACCCCGGGATCATGACCGGAGCTGAAGGCAGACGCTTAACCAACTGAGCCACCCAGGCGCCCCTTCATTGTTTTGTTTTGTTTTGTTTGAAGCTTCCCAGGTGATGCTAATGTACAGCCCAGTGGCGAACCATACTGGTGACCAACAGTCCTGGGTTATCTGGGACTTTCCAGTTATTAGCACTGTAAGTCCTACACCCCGGGAAACCCCTCAGCCCTGGGCAAACAGGGATACTTGGTCACCCCCTCCCCAAAGGAACAGACCCACATTTTCTGAATCCCAGATCAAGATACACCGTCTGGGCACCAATGACTAGAAATCGGTTGTTTGTTTTTTAAAGTTCATTTTTTTTTTTAAGTAATCTCTATTCCCAACGCAGGGCTCAAACTTATGGCCCCAAGATCAAGAGTTGTACGCTCTACAGACTGAGCCAGCCAGGTGCCCCTGGAAATTGGTTATTTGAAAGCTCAGCGTGGAATAGTGGATCACAGACGCCACAGGGTCAGCCCCAGGCAGGAGCCGGGCTCTGAAGGGGAGAGTGGTCGGCTGGGGGTCAGTCGGACAGGTCTCCATCACTGGGCCCCCTTGGGCTCCAGCCACTGGCCGCCCGCTCCATGGCCTTCACCCAGCGGTCCCTCAGCTCCTCAGTTTCAGCCTTGAAGGTGTAAAGCTGGCCTGACTGTTGCAGCTGGAAGACCCGAGGGTCAGCCTGGGTCCCCGCAGTCACCTGGTAGCCCAGCAGGGGGATGGAGGTGTGAGCCCGCATGTCCTGGGAGGGGAGGAGAGAGCCATGGGCCACTGTCTTTCTGCTCAGCCCCAGCACGTGGGACAGCCAATTTGAAGGTAAAAGCCACATACCCACCTCTTGCTCCCCAAACACCCAGGAAGCAGGGTGGACTGGTGGGAGGGCATCATGGTGGAGGAGGGCTGGCTGCCCACTGGGCAAAGCTTTTGTGACCTGGAATCTAGGCCCAGCTCTGAGAGCCACTAACCCTCTGGCTGGAGGGAACCACATCCTCCCTGGGTCTCAGTTTCCTCCTCTGGCATATGGGGCCAACAATACCCCCCATACACACACATACCATGAGAAGGCCAAGGTCTGGGAGGCAGGGGGTAGCGTTACCTGAGGGGCAGCATAGATATAGAGGACGAGGGGGTCGTCCCGGGGGATCACACACCAGCCCCGGGGCCCGCTCTTTCCCCACTTGTCCCCAATCAGCTGCAGGAAGCCGCACATGATGCTTTGCTCGGACCCTGTCGTGGACCCTTTCTAAAAACCAGAGAGAGAGAGAGGGAGAGAGAGAGAGAGACTGTCGGGCTGTCGGGGAATGCAGCACCCACCCTATGTCAGACACTGGACCGGGGGCTTGACAATCACCATTTCTAGTCCTCGCAGCAACCCTACAAGGAGGGGTCATTTGTCCCTGAGCCTCAGAGAGGTCTCGTTAGGGCCCTGTGGTCACGTAGCTGGTGGGTGGCAGAGCTGTGATCAAGTCCCAGCCAGCCTGAGCTTGTGGCAGTGCTGGGAGGGCTAATCACCTATGAGTTGCCCCAGGGAACAGAACTGGAACCTGAGCAGGGAGAGGGCTGTGTGGACTCCTGGGTGGGGAAGGAATGAGCAGGGAATGGGAAGACTGGAAAGTGGGCAGAGGTCTGTGGAAGGGCACAGCCGTGAACCCCGGAAGCTGTGTTCAGCTGGAAGGCATGGGGGGTCTTTCCCCACTTCCCCAGGACCATAGACAGAGAGAAGGATGGCAAGTGTGACCTTGGCTGGCTTGGTCCTGAGCACCAAGGACAGGGCCAGCACTTGCTGAGTGGAGGCCCTCTGCGCTCACCTCTAGGATGCCCCGCTTCTTGTCCTCTTTGTCCTCGGGGAGCACGTTTCCAGTGAGGAAGGTGTAGCAGTGGAAGCACACTCGATTGGGCCTGTTGCCATCATATTTGAGCTCAGCCCGGTATTCGGAGCACTTGGCGCACACCACCTAGGGGAGGAGGGGGAAGGAGGGGCTTGGGGCCTGAGGTGAGGCAGGGGAGGGCTGCACTGGTGCCTTGGCACTGTTGCCTGGGAGATGGTGGGGAGCATGAGAGGCCCTGGGGACAGGAGGAAGACAAAGCAAACTTCAGGAGAGGAATGGAGGCAGAGACAGGTGGTCCCCTGTGCTTGCAGAGGCCCAGCCTGGAGGCCATGGCTTCAGGGAAGAGCTCAGGCCCTGCGCTCCCCCAGCTGGGAGCTCAAGAGCTTCCCCCAGCTGCGCCCCACCCCCCCCCCCCCACAGGTGTGTCTTGATTCCCCCTTTGTGAGGACGGCTAGTAATCCCAGGGGCTTCCCTGCACACACCCCTGCCTCTAATTCACTTCTCCAAGCTCTCTCTCCCCTCTGCCATCTCCTCTGATTGTCCCAGCCTCCCCACCAGGTGGACAGCGCTGGCCCTTCCATCCTCTCCCGATAGCAAGGGGGGCAGTGACTTGCCTAGGGCCCCTTTGCTCACAGGCAGCAGCTGGCCCTCCCTGGGACAGGACAGGTATTTAAAGTTCCATGGTTTAGCTTTAAGATTCATGCAATCCTAGAGTCAAGCCTGTTCTAATATAAAAATGAAGGGTGGGTTGTTTTTGCCAGGAAGACCTGTCATGTGCATTGGGGGGAATGCCCCCCCACCCACCCTCTGCTGGCCCAGTGCGGAGAAAGCCCCCAGGCAGACCAGATCATGCCAGGAATCCAGGAGAAAGAGGCCTGGCAAGAGAGAAGCATGGGGGAGGGTAGGGTGTAACCTCCAGGGAGACTGGGGTGTCACCGTGAGCCTAGGATGTGGGGTTGGATATGGGGGGCAAGACACAGAGACGAGGGGGCTCCTCTGGGTGGCCAACACAGCACGTGGTCTGGGAGGGCCCCACCGGAGAAGGCCTGGCCTGCCCCACCCTCACCAGGATTCCGGTCGGGCAGGTGGGGAGACAGAAACTGGGCACCCAAACGACTGAAAAAATGACTCACAGAATACAAAGTTCGGCGCAGGCATGAGAAATCCTGAAATTGGGCCAGGGGTATCTCACAGAGCCCCACACAGGGGGCTTTAACTACCTTGGGAATATTTCATTTTATTGAGCTTTAAATTTTTTTATCTTGCTAGTGTATATTTATTTTCTCCTCCCCCAGCTTTTTAGTCTGAAAAATTTCAAACCTATGGACAAATCAAAAGAACACTGCAATGATACTGTCCCCACCAAACTCTCCGATTGTTAACATTTTTGCCACATTTGCTTTATCTCTCTCTATATCAATGTACTTTTTTTCTGAACAATTTGAGTATAAATCACAGTCATTGTGGTACCCTACCCTCAAATAAATAGCTGGTGTCGTGTAAGAACAAGGGTGTTTTCCTGCCTGTTCATTATGTCATGGTCACACTTGGGAAATTTAACATCCATCTAGGATTACTGCTTGTGATCAAATTTTCCCCAAAGTTCCCAGTAAGGGCCTCTGCGGCTGGTTTTGTTTTTCCCATCCACGATTCAATCAAGGATCATAGATTTCATTCAGTTGTCAAAATGTTATATTTCCTCCCTGTACTTTGAAGGTCACAGGTATTGTTACTCTTTGCGCCTCTTTGTATTTCTTAACTATTTTAAATAATGTTTTAGGAACTACTTACCAAGTTGCAATCGTGAATTGACTCAACCCTTATTTGCAGACGTGAATCACCCAAGAACAGTGGCTAATCCCCGGATCCTTTCTATTTGGCTCTGATAGAATACCTCACTTTCGTCTGAACACAGGTGTGTTCCCAGTCCTTGGAATTTACTCTGTGCCCCAACTGCCATGCAGTGCATTTTGGGGACACCTCCCTGAGCGGCCCCAATCTGCCCAGCTGGTCTCCTGTCTCCTGGAGGTCATTAAAGACTGAGGCCGTAAAGGGCTTCTCTGTTTGCAGAGTAAACCGAGGGGGTTGTCGGGTCCATAGAGAACAGCCCAAGTGCAGCGGGTGCTTGAAAAGCAAAGCAGGATCTGCCTCGAGTAACCGGGCCTGAGCTGATACGAGGAGGGGACAGGTTCCTTCCTCGATCAGCTGGTGACTACTGCTCTGAGCGAGCCCCACCCGAAACTGTTGAGGAAGGAAAGGAGGAGGAGCTCACTACCACCCTGAAGGTAGTTATTATAATCCCTACCGTCCAGGCAAGGAAACTGAGGCACAGTTAGCCGCAGAACTGAGCAGGTGCTGGAGGGCCAAGGACTTCCCAGAGAGGAGGGGCCCGAGAGCCAAGGTCGCACAGGAAGACGGGAGGACGGGCATGGGGCTGCTGGGGTGCTGGGTGCACGTCCCACCTGGACTGCGAGATCACCTCCCCGGGCTGGGTCTGGGGCTCTCAGGAAGCAGTGGTAAGAACAGGTGAACGCGCAGGGCCACTTCACAGGGTGTCTTGAGCACCTCGTCTAAGCCCTGTGAGCCTCACTTCCCCATGAACGGGGATCACAGAAGCCGCTGGGTCGCAGGGGGACATTGTAAGATCCAAACAAGGCCAATCACATATCCGGGCCCGAGTTAGCACCCAGCGCCCCTGGGTGGCATGGGTTCAGGCCAGCAGAGTTGGTGGGGAGACCGGAGGGGCCCCGAGCTGGGAGGGTGGAGGCAGACGAGGGACAGGTAAGGGGACAGGTGCTGGAGGCACTACTCACGTAGCCACAGGCGCGGCAGTGGTGCCGGCGGCGCGTCAGGGCATTGAAGGGCTCCCGGCAACGCATGCACATGGTCACCATCTTGTCCCGGACCCACTGTGGTGCCCGGAGGCCCAGCTCCTCGGACTGCAGCTGCTGGGCAGTCGGGTGGGGGCTTCAGGACCTCCTTCTGGCCCTGCCCGGAGGCCCAGGGGCCTTCTGTCCACCTGCTTCCCGGGGGCTTCCACTCAAAGCCGACCTAACCGGCAAGGACTATACTACGGATCAGTTAATATGACTCCCTTTGCACAGGTGAGGAAGCTGAGCCCAGAGATGTCAAGGGACTCAGCAAAGACACCCAGCAAGCCAGAGTTTGGAGCTCAGAGTGGAAGTCAAGTCCCGGACACTCTCCCTCTCCCACCCAACCTGCCTCCCACATTCCCTTGGTCTTAATGCTTCATGGGCACTTTCATCCCCAACCTGCCTCCCCCCACAGCCTGAGCTACACAGACATGAAATCCTTCCTAGGGAGGATTGCATAGAGAGGCTCCCAAAGGAAATTTTTGCTAAGGGAGAACCTTTGGCACTGAATCTCTGATGTGCGGGTGGGTGGGCTTTCTTGGGTCCCTTTAAATCAGTCCCGTTGGGTGACACTCCCCCACCCTCCAGGCTGGGTTGGGCAGGGCCAAGAGAGGGAATGCGCCTGTGTGAGGCTGGTGGCTCCCTCGAGGGAGGCAAAGGCTTCATTTACTTCCTGCTCCTGGGTGTCTCCCTCAGGGCCCTGGACCGCAGCCTTGAAGGTTTCATTCCGCTTCTCGATCTGGTCAATGGCCGCTTGGCAGGCCTAAGGGGACACGGGAAGCGGTTAGGGAGTGGCAGGGAGGGCTCGCTCCTCTGTCCATCCACCCATTCAGTCAACAGACACTGCTGGAAGCCTCCTGAGTGCTGGGTGCCGGGTTTTAAACACACCCAGCTGACTCAAGGGAGAAGAAACAGTTAGCCCCAGATTACAGATGGGAAAACTGAGCCTCAAGGACATTATGTGACCTGCCCAAGGCCATCCAGCTAGTCAGCAAAAGGCAGCAAGATTTCAACCCAGGTCTCATTCCAAACTAACACAGAGCGACTCCTGAGGAAGCACAGGGAGCAGCTGGGCATGTGTACACGCACGTGCACGTGCACACACGTGCGCACACACCCCCTCCCCCCACCCCTGGCCTGGGTGGGTAGGCTGGGTTCAGAACCCCAGGGGCCTTGGAATGTTCTGGTACCTGTATCCAGGAAATCATTTCCTCCCGGGACCTGCTCGGAAAGCGAACACAGGTGTTGAGGAGAGCAGCCACTCCCGGTTTTCCCGCCTGGCCCAGCCCCTAGTTCCATGCCTACCGGGCTTGCAGCTCCAGAGTACGCTGCTTGCCTGACACCAGGAAGGAGTGGGGGAACTCCGCATCAGTCAGCTCCCGCACCTGCTCGGGAATGAGAGGGAGATGACTTGTTCAGACTTGTCACACCCCGTCCCTCCAGGCACCGTGGGGTGGATGGAGATGGATCGCGCCCAAGGAACAATTCGAATTTGAGGGACAGGTATGAGGACCTTCTCCATGGCCTCCCAAAATCTGCGGAGCCAAGTTAATGCACCTGAGCAAACAGGATGTCAAGGTTCCTAGAATTTCAGCGGCAGCTAAATTGACTCTGTGTGAGGTAGGAGTGACAGTTTCCAACAAAGGATTCATCAAAGATGGAAATTGGGTCATAAATTGGGTTTGGGGACACAGCTTTTTCAAGAGCAGACCTAAGGCCTAGAATAAGACTCTTCATCCCATACAGTGAAGGAAGAAATTGGTTGCCCAATCCAGAGATCTGACAGACATCTCCCCCCACTTCCTGTCTTTCACTGTTCCCCTGTCTGAGAATCCCAAGTCCATGGCCATCATGAAGTCTGCCGGTGAGAAATGCTTACTATGTGCCAGCCACTGAGCTCAGGGCTCCCCATACATGTTCTCATTTAACACGTACTGCTGAACCCGCCAATCAACCCTAATTCTTAGCTGCGACACTCCTCCTGAGGGCAGTGGCAGCCAGCCATGGTCTCGCATACCCGAATCTGGTCAGGCCTCTAGGCTAGCTGCCAGTTTACAAGAAATGTGGGGGGCCATGGGACATGTTGAGTGACACCTCAGGGGTGCAGTCAGCAAAATCCAGTCCGTGAGAAATGCTCCCAGAGAATGAGCTGATTGCTTCAATTAAAACATGAGAAAAAAGAAGAAGGAGGGGATGTGTAATGGATTAGAAGGGATGTCAGAAACACATCCCAAATGATTCAAACACATCAGCTGTGAGAAGGCATTTACACGTCAAAGAAAACCAAAGGATCTTAGTATTATTAAATAATTAGTATTAATTTGCTAGATGTGATAATGGTCCTGTTGTCACCTTTTATAGCAAAAAAAAAAAAAAAAAAGAGTTCTTATCTCGTTCAGACACATACTGAAGTATTTATAGGTGAAATGATTATGGGTCTGAGCTTTGCTCTTAAATAATCCGGTGGAAAGAGGAATAGGAGGAGGACGTTGGGAAAACAAGACCAGCTTTGAGTTGACAACAGCTGAAATCAGGTGATGAGTGTACACAAGTTATTTGAGCTACTTTCTTGGCTCTAAACTGTCCATAAGAAAAAGTTAAAGAAAATCTTCACAGTAATCTTGGGAGGGAGATGCTACCACCCTCATTTAGTAGATGTGGAGATGGAGGTTCAGAGAGGGCAAGAGACCCGCCTGAGCTCACACAGCAGCTAAAGGACAGAATGAGGGTTTGAATTCAGGGTTTTGGCCTCCCATGGGAAGGTGGAAGAACATCTATTTCCACCCCACCCCAGAGTCCCGTAAACGTAGACCTCTCCCAGAGTGAAGAGTCACAGGGGGAAACTAAGACGTAGACAAGAGTTCTGGTGTGGGGAACCTTGTTGTTCTACCTGTTACCTGAGACTTTCTGCTGGCTCCCTGCCCTATGGCGACCAGGCCTTTGCACACCCTCAGGCCGGCCCACGGTGTCCCAGGAAAACTGACTCTGGGTATGTCCTTCCTCATGTTAGGGCTGCTCTACCCTTTGGGCCACAGAGTTGGTCTGTTCCCTCTAGAAGGTGCCTGATGTGATTTGGACTTGAATCCATGGTAATGGGGAGGCTCTGAGAGTTGATACATGGAGAAGCTCCTGTGATGTAGAAAGAGGTGTTTGGGAAAGTCACTCTAGCGGCTGTGTGCAAGGGGCAGAGAAGGGCTGGATCTGGGGGGAACAGACCAGCCTGCACCTGGGAAGCAAGAAGCTTTCTCTCTGGAGGACGATATGGGGAAATCTGGCAAGACTCCATGACTAATTGGTGAGGGAAAGAGGGGAGGGAAAGAAAAGAGAAATCTATGGTTTGGAGCCCAGAGATAAAAAGAAATGTGACGCTTTTAATAGAAAAGGGGGAACCAGGGGCGCCTGGGTGGCTCAGTCAGTAAACCTCTGTCTTCGGCTCAGGTCATGATCCCAGGGCCCTGGGATTGAGCCCCCTATCAGGCTCCCTGCTGGTCGGAAGCCCCCTTCTTCCTCTTGCACTATCACTGCTTGTGTTCCCTCTCTCGCTGTGTGTGTGTCTCTCTCTCAAATAAATAAATAAAGTATTTTAAAAAGAAAGAAAGAAAGAAAAGAAGAAGGGGAGCCAGAGGAGCCAGAAGCCCCCTCTTTAGAAGGGCGGGAGGAAAGCTTCTAGAGGATATTTCCAGGGTCTGCTGTGCCCAGTCTCGACCACTCCCCACGTCTGGGCCCATTTAGGGCCCTGCTAACCCATACAGTGCCTTTGTGCTAATTAGAAAGAGACACCCCTTCTTCAAAACACTTTACTGACATCTGTTGGCAAACTGCATAATATTCAGATTTTGTTGGAACGAGACACTTGACTGCCATCTGCCGGACAATGAGAATTGTAAGTAAACAGTCCACAATGTCTGCTTGGATGAGATGTGCCTGTGCAGAGCCCAACCTACACAGTTGTACATGGAGACTCCAGGTGTGTATGTGCCTGCATCCCTTCCTTCTTCCCAGGCTGGCCTTGGGCGGGATGGCACAACATTAGGACCAACTTGGACCTTGGGAGAATCAGCTGCTGAGAACTAGGCCTCCTTGCTATCCAGAAAGGAGGAGGCCAGAGGGTCCTAGGCCAGTGGGAACCGTCATGGTGGTCAAAGGCCAGACCTACCTTCAGACTGCAGACTTGGGAAATGGCTCCCATGCAGATGGCGGGCAGGTAGACAGCGCTGCCCTGGCCCAGTCTGGGCCCTTCAGGAGAAGGTGCCGGGCAGCTGCTGGAGCATTCGACACTCTGTGCAGGAAATGTGCTCACTGGGATTGGCAGGAGCCAGGAACTCGGCACGCACTGATGCTCTCGGTCTTGTCTCCGTGTATTTTCTCTTTAGGACTCTGTGTTGATCTCTCTATTTCTTGGCTTTTCTGTCAATCTCCACCTCTCTTTTTCTACACCTGGGTCTCTGCCAGCCCTAAGACAGGGCTGCCTATCTCCATTTCTGTCTGTCTGTTGCTCTCCATAAACCTGCCTTTCTCAGTATCACTCACCAAGGCTCCCAGACCTACAAGCCCGCACACACACTTGCAGCTGGGACATTCTGACCACTCAGGAAGGGCAGTGCCACGGGGTGAAGGGTTACAATCGTAAAAGACTACAGGCAGCTCAGGTGTGGGGAGGAGGCTAGAATCCCCACAGGGAGCCCAGGTCCCCCCATTGGACTTCATCATGCTCAAGCTGCACCCCACTTTCGGGCCCTTGATTGGGCCCCAAATGCCATGTAAGCCCAGTCAGGAGCAAGATAAGGTCCTCCCTGCTGAGGGCTCTCAGAGACCCAGGGCTTCTCCAGAGGACTGAGGGTCCTGGCTCAACTCCTACCTGCACCTCCCTCCTGGGGCAGATCCTGGGGGGGCGGGCAGTGACAGGGAGACGGGATGGGAGAAATGGAAGCATACCAAGATCAGCCGGACTTGACCTCCGCTTCTCCCAGCCCCAGCCTTCAGGACACACTGGAGCTCAGGAGGGATCAGAAAGTTGTCAAGAGAGTTCCCCCCCACCCTGACTTATTTGACTATGCCTGCAATTCTGCATAAGCTTTGCGCCTCTGAGCTGAAGCCTAAAGAGGAGACAGTCCGGTAGGGTGATTAGGTCCAGGGACTCTGGACTCTGTTTTACCTGGTATGATTGCTCAAACCAAGATTTGCTGTGTGACCCCAAGCAAATTATAACCTTTCTGGGCCTCGGTTTCCTTTCAAAAGACTTTTAGGGGAACACTCTTACACTGTTGGTGGGAATGCAAATCAGGGCAGCCACTCTGGAAAATAGTAGGGAGCTTCCTCAAAAAGTTAGAGATCGTTCTACCCTATGACCCAGCAATTGCACTACTGGGTATTTATCCAAAGGATACAAACATAGTGATTCAAAGGGGCACCTGCACCCGGATGTTTATAGCAGTAATGTCCACAATAGCCATGCTATGGAAAGAGCCCAGATGTCCATCGACAGATGAATGGATAAAGAAGATGTGAGATATATATATATATATAGATATATATATATATATATACATATACAAAATACATATATTGAATATATATATATAATATTGAAATATTACTCAGCCATGGAAAAGAATGAAATCTTGCCATTTGCAACGACGGGGATGGAGCTAGAGGGTATTATACTAAGCGAAATAAGTCAGTCAGAAAAAAGCAAATATCATATGATTTCACTCATGTGAAATTTAAGAAACAAAATAGATGAACATAGGGGAAGAGAAGGAAAAATAAAATAAGATGAAAACAGAGGGAGAGACAAGCTGTATGAGACTCTTAACTATAGGGAACAAACTGAGGGTTGCTGGAGAAGTGGGTGGGGGATGGGGTAACTGGGGGATGGGCATTAAGGAGGACACTTGATGGAATGAGCACTGGGTGTTATATGCAACTGATGAATCACTAAATTCTACCCCTGAAACTAATAAAAAAAAAAGACTTAATTTTTTTAGATCAATTTTAGGTTCACAGCAAAATGGAGAGGAAGATACAGAGATTTCCCATATACCTTCCCGCACCCCTACACACTCAGAACCTCTCCATTATCAACATCCCCCACCAGAGGGGGACATGTGTGAGGACTGATGAACCTCCATGGACACGTCATGATCGCCCAGAGTCCACAGTTCCCATTAGGATTCACTCTTGGTGTTGTACATTCTGGGGGTTTGGCCAAATATCACTCCAGTGAAGCAAGAGACAGCTTCGCCGCGCTTAAAATCCCCCGACCTGCGTGTCCCTCCCTCCCGACTAACCCCTGGAAACCACCGAGCTTTTTACAGTCTCCATAGTTTTGCCTTTTCCGGAGTGTCCGACAGCTGGAACCACACTGCATGTAGCCTTTTTCAAATTGGCTTCTTTCACTTAGCAAAATGCACTGACTGAAGTTTCCCGCCTGCCTTTCCATGGCTAGGTAGCTCATTTCTCTGTATCACCGAACAATATTCCATTGTCTAGATATGCCACAGTTTATTTCCGGATTTTTTTTTTTTTTTTTGATGGGACTAACTACAGATAGACTCACACGCAGGCATGTACCTGGTTATTCCTCTGTAGTTATTCACAGGGAACGACTAGCTGTCCCTCAGTAGCGGGCTAGCTGAATGGGTTACAGTACTTTGCACAGATGGGAACACCCTACAGCTACCCACTGAAGGGTGAGGCCACTCTAATGTCCTGACGTGAACGATCACCGGACTTAGCCTGGAGTGAACTTAGTGAACTTAGCACTTAGTGAAAAAAGCAGAGTGGAGAACAGTGTCTCTGGAAAATGGTTTCACTGTTTATGTGAAACGTAAGTAAAGAAGCAATAATAAATATATTATTAGTTGGTGTCTGCAAAGACTACCTCCAGAAGGCCTTTGAAGAAGCAAAAAGTCTGTCTCCTGGAAGAGAACTAGGAGTTAGAGTGGGGAGGAGACTTCTCATTGAATGCACTTTTTATATTTGATTTGGGGATGTGTATTATCTATGCTTTAAAGTAAAAAAGTGTTATTTTTAAAAGAAATAGGCAAAGGAAAATAACAACTCCTCCACTATAGGGATACATGAGAGTCTGATGGGGTGATGCAGGGCCCAATCCACAGGGACCAGCCAGTTGGTGGACACTATGGGTTGCTGTCCCCACGCATTTGTGGCCATCTCTGGCTGGGGACACACACGGTCCAGCAGTGGAGCTGACCATGTAGACCTTTACTGCTCCAAGTGTGGCCTGTGGCCTGCAGCGGTAGCAGCTCTGGGAGCTGGTTAGCAATGCAGAGTCTCAGGTCCTTCCCCGGACCAACTGCATCAGGACCTGCATTTTCGCAAGACTCCCAGGGCCTCATGCACATATTAAAGTTGTTAGAGCTCTGGGGCAGTGGATAGGGAAAGCAGAGAGAGGTCAGGCCAGGGAGGGCACTGTCCCAAAGAGTGGACCAGGCCTGTGCGCCCCAACAGGGGAGAGCTCCTACCCCAAAACATTCCCACCATGTTAGCCCAGGATCTCCAGATTTGGGTTCCTGGGTTGAGAACCCAGCCAACCCTGCTGCTATTCCCCATACTCGATCCCAGCCTCAGGAAGAAGCCTGGCGCTGTCAGGGGACGGGGTACCTCTCACCTTCATTCCGGCCACGTCGATGCGGGTCCTCACCTGGAACTGGGCGCCCACCTGGATGACCTTGGATATACAGTAGAGCAGCATGTTGTTGAACTGCCGGAGACAAGGAATGGTGAGGGAGTGGGTAGTGGCAGGGCAGGAAGGACGGGGAGGCAGAGCTGGAGCACCCCTGCGCCTCCCTCTCCTCTTGCCAGGCTCCAGGTCAGCTCCCAGGAGTCGCAGGTGTGATGAGGAAGGGGCTGTCTATCTGGCCTCCAATCTGATGAGGATGGTCACTCAAGAGTGGCCCTGTCTGTGGGCCTCAGACTTACAAGGCCTTTCTCATGGGGGCTCAGGGCTGCAGGGGCTCATGGGACATTATAGCTCCCTCCTCCAGACCTCCAGGGAGGACGAGTTGCCAGATCTCCAGGAGAACCCCCCGGCTTCGTGAGTGCCAATCTGGATAGTTCTTCTTACCAGCTAACCTGATTCTCTCCTGCTTTGCATTCCTAGAGCAAGTTTAATGTTTAAAGTTCCTAGAGCAGTTTAATGACGCAAGGTTTGGAGCCAAACAGACTGGGTTCCAATTCTGCCTCTGTTGCTTCTTAGGGCCTACCTGAGAAACCCCTCAGTTGGAAATCCTGAGGCCTAGCCTGTGACTTCTCTAAAGTCACCCGGTGCCAAAGCAATAACGCACAGAGAAGCAGGCTCTTCCCTGCCTCTCCCGCGGTGCCAGGCAGACACGAGGCAGGCAGGACCTGGTGGGAGTGGCCCCTGGACCGCCCTCTCCAGGGCAGGGGGAGAGGGCCACTTAGCGTCCTTGTACCAAGAAAAGGTAGCGCTCCATGGGGTCACTGCGGCGGAAGGAGATTTTGAGGACGGGACCCTCGCGGAGCAGGGTGTTGGAGGGGTCCACTATGTCATCCTCGAGGCCCAGGCGCTGGTACACGTCCCACAGGTCCTGCAGCCGCTCCTGGGACAGGGGGAGCACCCTCAGCCAAGGCCCAGCAGGGCCCACCTGCTTCTGGAAGGTTTGTCTTGTGTGGACAGGGACGGGAGATGAGGGGGAGGACAGCAGAGGCTGAGGGGATGAGTGGATAGAGACCTAGACGGCTGGGGTGGGTATGGCTGAGAGCTGCAGGGAGGAGGTACAGGGCCCCTGGGGATGCCTGCTGGTCCCACCCCTGAGGGCCAGCTGCTCACCATCTCAGTGATGGCTGCGTTGGAGTGCTGAGCGGCCAAGAAGATCATGTCCAGTGCTTCTGAAGGAGGGCACAGAGCCAGAATTATCTCCTGAAAATGTGGGGCTGGGAGCTGAGGCAGAAAGTCCTTAAGGCTTAACAAAGAGGCCCGAGAGTCTGCTATGAGTATGTAGGAGAAGCCTGGCCAGCACACGGGATGACTCTGATGGAGGCCATTTCTCACCCAGAGTGGAGAGACTGGAAGCCACTGAAAGATAGGGCTTAGACACTGGGCTTCTGTGACCAACTCATTCCTCCCCAAACCAAGCCAGACCCAGAGGGTGCTGTGGAAAGAGCACGGGCTTTGGTATAATATAGGCATAGCTTCAAATCCCAACTCTGCTCCTTTCTGGCTGTGTGACCTTTGGCAGGTTGCTTGATCTCTCTGGGCCTTAGTGGCTATAAAAAATGGCTAATGGTATAGATAACATCTAGGAAGTACCAACAATCAATGTTGATAGCTGATGGGGTGCTCAGTCAATAAAGGGGAGTGGCTCAGGCCTCCCTAGCCCCGTGGATTCCCCGGGGTGGTGTCCTCACTCTGAGCATCGGCCTGGTCTGGAGCCTGGGCTGGCAGCTTCTGGACGTACTCCTTGAGCAGCAGCTCATAGCGTGGGATTCTCTGCACAGGTTCTAGCATGTGGTGCTGCAGAGTCAGGCTGCCGGAGGCCTCGCTGCTCTTGGGGAGGGATGGGAGGAGGAACAGTGTGGGTTGAGAGTAGGGAAGGGCAGAGCGGGCTGCTGAGATGGTCGGGGAGGGGGGGAGGGGGTGGGGCAGACTGGCGTGGGAAGCCTATGCAAGCAGCTGAGCGGGAGGTGCCCCAGATCCCTTGGGGAATCTGAGCCAGTACCCACCAGGGTGGTGGTGCAGGCTCCGCCCCAGCCCTTGCCCAGCCTCACCTGAATGCGGGTGATCACCTCCTGGAAGGGGGCAGACTTGTCAGTCCAGCTGGCCAGCAGCTCAGCCGCTCGCTGAAAGTTCTTGACATACTCACTGTACATCTTCAGGAATGGGGCCAGTTTCTGGATGACATCACCGATGCGGGGGGTAGCTGTCCTGGAAGAGGGCCACCCGTACTGCCTTCAGCCCAAGGACCTCCTCTCTCGACTTCAGGCAGGGTCAGGTTAGGCCAGGCTCTCTGAAGCACACAACTCCCAAAAACAGTCCTTCCACTGCACTTCTGGGTGCAGGCATGGGGGCTCATCACCCTCACCCACATGTGTGGGGTCCAGCCCCCTCAGACTCTGAGCCCCGAGGGCAGATGCTGTTCTCTTCCACCCGCAGGCCCAGCATAGCGTCGGGCCCCCACCGCACATCCCGAAATCACTTGAGGCAGCTGATGTAATGGCAGCAAGGGCCAGAAGCCAAGCACCGTCCAAGACACGCCACGGGTCTCACCCCTTTTAATTCTCGCACCTCTGTGGGGAGTGGTCATCGGCCCATCTTAGAGATGACGGAACAGCCCCAGAGGGGTAAGAATGTATTCAGGGTCATATCGTGGTAAGGCCTGAAGGTCAGCCCAGGGGCTGTGACAGCAGAGCGATGAGGTGCCCGACGGTCCCTGAAGCTGGCCTTCCTGAGTTTGATTCCCAACTGTTCCACTTACTCTAGCTGTGTATTCTTGGACAAGTCACCTAACCTCTCTGTATCTCCATTCTCCCATTGGAAAAAAACAGGAATGGTGGTAGGCATAGGGTCATCTTTAAAACAATAACAACAAAACACCCAGGGGTGTCTAGGTGGTGAATTTGGTCAAGTGTCCGACTCCTGGTTTCAGCTCAGGTCATGATCTCAGGGTCATGGGATCGAGCCCTTTGTCTGGCTCTGAGCTCAGTGTGGAGTCTGCTTCAGATTCTCCCTCCCTCTCCCTCCTACTCACTCTCTCTGTCTCTCAAATAAATAAAATCTTTTTTTAAAATCTTCAAAATAAAATAAAAATAACAAAAACCAACCCACATTTTATTGCGAAAAACTTTAAGCCATCATGAAGGAAAAAGAATATAATAATGAGACCCCATATATCTGACCCTGAATTTAACAACTATGGACATTTCTCTTTGCTGAAGAATTTTAAAGGACACCCCAGTCCTCGTGGCATTTCTTTAGCAAAATATATAAAGCAAGTAATTCCTCCACCAAATGCTTCAGTGGTCGTCTCTGAAAATGAAGACAGTTCCTTGTATCGCCACACAGGAGATGGGTTTGAAGAATCAGTGAGTTCATTAAGTGTGAAACCCAAAGCGGAGCATGCCAGAAGCCCTCAGTTAGCACTGCCTCTTTCCACTGGCTCCGAAGTCCTTCAGCCTGCTGGGGACCGACACACCCCCTTCCCCAGGACACACACACACACACACACACACACACAGCCCCTTAGCACCCACGTGTCCAAGCCCCTTACTGTGAGCACAGACTGAGCCTAGGGGAGGAGACCATCATGGACACACAGCAGGGGTCCGAAGAGGCCAAAGCCAGTGCCGCAGGGGTCTGCACCCTGTCCCGGCCTTGGCTGTGGCCATGGGGGCTTGGGTGTTCACGGAGGACCTCTCACCAGTCATCCAGCCGCCGCTGCAGCTCCGGGAGGAAGAACTGTGCATGGAACTGGTAGATGGAGGAGATGTTGGAGAAGATGAGCCTGACCACGTCCTCGGGGAAGGCCTTGCTGGCGCGGGCCTCCCTCAGCAGCTCCTGGAAGAACACCTGCAGCCGCGCCCGCCGGTCACTCGGTCCGTGGCCGAGAAGAACCCCCCACACACCAGCCCAGGCAGAGACAGGCACAGCCTGGGGGCTTTCCGGGCCCTTCTGTGGTCTGAGAGATACTTTCACCTCTTCAGCCTCCCATCATCCTCAAAACAGCCTCAGTAAGAGACAGAAAGGGCTGTATTCTGCCCACTTTACAGATGGGCAAACGAAGGCCTAGTGGCTCAGGGACTTAGCCGGGGGCTGGCAGCTGATGAATGTCAGAAATGGGCCCACCTCGTGTCGGTCAAGGTCCTGGACTTTACCAAGCTAAGGATCGTGCTCCAAATGCACAAATATTTAACCCTCAGGCTTGGGGCTTCTTAAGAACGTGTGAAGTCTAGGAGCAGTGAGGATGTTGGGTGTGGGGGTGATAGATGAGGACTCTCTGCACGGCGGGGAAGGCCACATGCACTCTGCTATATGCGAGGTGCCGGCCTGGGCACCAGGGCTGGAATGGCAGGTGGCGTCAGTTCCCTAAATCCTCACTTCTGCCCCAACTCCAGCCAATGGGGGTGAAAGACTGAGACTTCCTCGAATCACATGCCAGGTCCTAACTCTCAGCGCCAGTGAGGTACACACAAGGGAGAGTGAAGGTGGGGAGAGGAGAACTGGGTGCTGGGGTTCAGAGCAGGACAGGGCGGTATTCTGGCCCCTGACCTGGTCTAGCAGATGGAGGCGGGCCACATAGGCCTTCTCTGTCTCCAGGAGCTCCTGGACGATCTTCTTTTCCTCAGGCTCCTGTAGGCGGGTCAAGGGGGAGGAAAAGGAGAGAGACAGCTTTGGTCTCCTCTGATGGGGACCCTGGGTGTAGTCTCCAAAGACGTCCCAGTGAACGCCTACTTCCCAGCACTCATGCCCTCCCACAGTGCATCTAGGCTGGTGCTGGGATCGCTTTAACAAAGAGTGGGGTAGGAAGTGGGGCTGTGCCAGACCTGGTCCAAAGGCCTGAAAGGTCTGGAAACTTCTTGGAAGGTTATGCTCTCTTGGGAGCCAGGAACCACCGCATCTGGAAATTTGGCTGCCCTGATGGAGAGGCCACGTCGAAAGGAGAGGCCCAAAGACTTCACTCATAGAGAGAGAGCCAAGGGCCCAGCTGTGCCGGCACTCCAGCTGAACCCAGCTTCTACTGTCCCTGCCCAGGCACCGGGCTTGAGAACTGAGCTGTCTCGGGCATTCCAGCACTGGTCACCATCTGACTGCAGTCATGGGAGAAACTCTATCATGGGCTGACTTGTGTCCCCCTCCCCAAATCCATACTTTGAAGGTCTAAAGCCCCAATACGACTATATTTGGACATAGGGCCTTGGAGGTGATAATTACGGTTAAATGAAGTCTTAAGGGTGAGGTCCTCATCCAACAGGACCGGTGTCCTTAGAAGAGTAGGGACAGACCCCAGGAGAGTATGTGCATAGGACACAGTGAGACAAAAGCCATTGATAAGCCAGGACAAGAGGCTTCACCAGACACCCACCCTGCCAGCACCTTGATCTTGGACTTCCAGTCTCCAGAATCGTAAGGAAATCTATGTCCGGTAAATCGCCCAGTTTGTAGCATTTTGTCATGGCAGCCCCAAGCTAGCTAACACAAGCCCCAAGTGAGACCAATAGAAGAACCATCAGGGAGCATTCTAGTCAACCCAGAGATTTGTGAGAAATAATAAATTGTACTCAGCCACCACATGATCACCCTCCCCATTTTATAAATGAGGGAACGGCACAAAGAGGCACTTTACAAGTGCTTTGCCCAAGGTCACACAGTTAGAAAGCAGAAGAGCTGGGGCATGACCCCTGGTGGTCTGGCTCCAGGGTGTACAGGGTCATGCACCCTAGCCCTTGAACTCCACAGACAATCAAACTGACACCCAGACTGGGCAGGTGACCCGTCCAGGATCAGTCTAACGGCAGCATTAGCACTAGCCTCTATTTCTAGTTGGAATTGTTGCCTTCTTCGGTGGATAAACTGAGGCCACACCCGGGAAGGGTACCGGTTCACAAAATGGAGACCCTTCTAAGCTGCATGGCCTCGGACAAGTTCTTTAAGCTGTCTGAGTTTTCATGTCCTTGCCTAAAAGACTCCCTCAGCGAGGGGCACAGGAAATGATGCCAACAGTGGGGTACGCTGTAGGCATTAACCAAAGGCCATTAAGAGGAGAGAATCTAGCTGTCAATTGATCTCTGGTGACACAAGACCCCTGCCTAGGGAAGTGCTGGCTTTGGCTGGGAGAGAATTTTCTGGGAGGAGGTCAGTGAAGGGGTCCCCCCAGCTCCCCACTTTTGCTCTAGCCTTCAGGCACCTGTGTCCCTAGCCCAGCGTGGGTCCCAGGCTGGCAAGATTTCCTCCAGGCCCCACTGGACAGCTTGTTCTTCAGGGAGCTCAGGTACCGCCTGCTAACCATCCTGGGCTCGGACCTCTGCAGGGTCTCCCCAAGGTTGGGCTCCTTCCATGGCTCTGCAGGTGGGGGAGCCCTGCCCCCAGGGCAGTGATGTTCGATCTCCAGCTTGCAGACTCTGGATGCTGCACCTGGAGTTCTGAGGTGAACAAAACAGATTTGAGGGTTTCCTGGCTATAAAATAGGAAGAAGGATAGCACTTCCCTGGTGGGGATTATGGGTAATTAATGCAAATCACAGGTATGAAGTGGCCCCTGCACTCAGAAGGAATTTGCTAAGTAAAACATCCACTTCCTTCCCCAACATCTTCTTGGAGGGAACTCCAGTCTTCAGAATGAGTCAGCCTAGACTTGTTTTGTTTTCTGGAGAACGACATACTTCCCTCTTTAAAATGCAGTGAGGAACCCCTCATCTGTATGCAGTGCTTTCTAAGTGGCCCCAGATCACCCTCACCTGTACATCTCACCTCTGTTTTTAGTCTCTGTGGCAGGAAAGACCCTGAAATCTGAGTAACTTATATATGGAGAGAAAGTGGGAGCCATGGAACACTCTACAGGGAGGGCAGAGCTGCTGAAGCTGGGGTTTTCCATGGGAACTGTGCCCTCTACATCTCCAGTGGCAGGAGAAAGGCAGTCTGGAAGCAGTTTCCTTGTTCCTCCAGGAATGCCCTCTTGAAGGGTAGCTTTGTGTGTGTTTATCCTACTACAAGGTCCAAAGGCTAGTTAAATTCTTTAGATAAAAGAGGCCACCCTCACTGAATATATTCCACGATTTGGGCTATACCCATTCTCTCTGGTATGGAAAGGCTTGCAATGAGACAAACAGGCTGGTAGATGGAGAGACCAGACATGTACAAAGTCTCCAAAACTCTGAGAAAGGTTTTCATGACCCTGGTTTTGCAGCTAAAAAAACTGAGGTACAGAGAGCATTAGTGACAAAGCTAGGGGTGACAAAGATGGGATCCAGATCAGGCATGCTGGCTCCTGAGACCTCACCCTAAACTGCCCCTCCCCATTTGAGTTAAGGAGAAGCAGGTCCAGAGGGTAAACATGTCCGCCCCGAGTCCCTCAGCTGTTTGGTGGTAGAGAGAGGATTGGAAACCAGTCCTCACAGCTCCCCATGGGCTCTTCCACCCATGTCTGGCACCCTGGTGCCTGGTTCCTCAGCCCGTGGAAATAGCTGGGTCTCAGGCTTTCTGTTCTACATTTGGTTTCAGCTTCTGCATTTCCTTCCAAGTGCCCCAAGACAGCTTCTGTTTCCTTTTCACCCCTCAGTTTCAGATCAGCTAAGGTGCTGGGGAGACCTCACAAGAAAGCCAAAGCCAAAGCTGCTGGCGCGGGGCCCCTCACCCGATAACGGGTGGCTCTCACCCTGCGGACAAGGCCTCCTCTGACCCCATTCTGGTCTGCGGGCTGCCTCCTCCTGCCCAGTGTTGCCTGGGCCTGGCACACATGCCAAGGGTCTCCACTGGGCATGCCTGGCCTGTTGAGTTGTGTGGTGCTCTCTCCCCACACTCCAAAGGGTGGGCGGTGGGCCAGGAAGGTTGTGCCTAGAGCTGTCCTCGGTGCTGAACTAGAATGTGCTTGGCAAAGAACTCTGGGAGAGGCGGGGTAAGGTCAGGAGCTCAAGAAGATGAACCACCCTTCTAGGCCCACATCTGTGCCATATCCACTGCGAAGTCCACAGAAGTCTTTCTCTGCTCTGAGTGCCCTCAGCACAGAATCTAGGCTCCTCTTGGGAAATCTATTGTCTGTGACCTGGCATCACAGTAATTCCATAAGCTTAATGTCCAAAGACAGAAATCCTCCCAGCAGGGATCATTCTTTTGGCTCCTGTGTCCACTACAGTTCCTGGGTGATACTGTGTCATCCCAGGTCAAGTCCATATCCAATGACTAGTCCATGTGGGGGTACAAAGACCCCTGGCTTTGCCTCAATAGAAAAACCTGATGGAAATCTCAGCTCCAGAGCTCCTTGGGACAGGCTGAGGCCTCTGTTGCAAGTATACACAGTTCAGCTTCTCTCAGTGCTATATCCTGCCCCGACAAGTGTCATCCCCAAAACTATCCCCAGTAAATCTACTGAAGCAAATTTCTACCTTAGAGTCTATTTCCAGAGAATGCTACCGACAATAGTTCCTAACACAGTGATGGGTTTAAGAAACACCTGCAGGGGGATGCCCAGGGTGGCTCAGTCAGTTAAGCGTCTGCCTCTGGCTCAGGTCATAATCCCGGGGTTCTGGGATCGAGTTCCAGCATCGGACTCCCTGCTCATTGGGGAGCCTGCTTCTCCCTCTGCCTGCAGCAATCCCTGCTTGTGCTCTCCCTTTCTCCCTCTCTCTGACAAGTAAAGAAATCAAATTCTTCAAAAAAAGAAAAAAGAAGAAGAAAAGAAAAGCCTGCAGAGTAGATTAATGTCACACAGACACAGACACAGACACAGACACACACACACACACACACACACACACACACACACACACACACCCCGCCCCTGCCAGGTCCACCAGTAACCTCCACACATGAGGCCCAGTTTTTTTCCCTTCAGATGGGAGCCCCTATCCATGAACCTGAAGCATTTTGAGCCTCCCTGCCTCTCTGTACACCCACAGTCTCATCAGAAGGTAGGACTACAAATAGACCTACCCTCCGGAGGCTGTTAGATAATTAAATGAAAAAAGTCAAACGAGTCACTTAGAACAGTGTCCCAAACGTAGGCTGCTGATCCGTCCAGGTTTGCCCAGTACAGTCTCAGCTTTTCCTTTCGCCCCCTTCCATCCGCCAAAAAAATTTAATGGCATCCACTTCCAGTTTTAATTGTGCCCTGATCGGAATGATAAATTATATGGTTGTCCTACTTATAAAGAGTGTCTGATAAGCATCACTATCATTTCTGAGGGAGAGGCAATGGGTGGAGTCCTGCAGCCCCAGCACTGTGGGGCCCACCCACACTCACTCAACTACACACCTCTGGACTCTCCCCAACACATCCTTGCACATACCCTCCCCGTTGCCCAGCTCCTGGGGCCTGACCACACTCCTCCATGCTACCAGGAATCCAGGCACAGCCCAGACAGGAGGAGGTGTCTAGCATGGGCCCAGAGAGAGAACTGCTCACTGTCGGGGGCCAAGGTGGCCCGAGTACTGATCCTTAACCATGGAGAGAGGGAGGGCCCGTGCTCCAGGCCTGGTGGTGGATGGGCAGAGGGGGGCCCGGGCTGGACAATGGAACTACAGGGAGCCCACCGGTTGGCCCTAGCGACCCTTGCCACCCCCACCACCCCATACCTGCTGTTTTCAAACACGGTCACCAGACTGGACACAGATGCCAGCTTCTCCTTACTCTCTCCCTCCATTCTGCAGGCCTCCATGGTGGTACTCAGCTACTCCCTGAAACAGGGCGGGAGGCCTCCAATTAGCACCCTCAGCCACCCTCACCTGGGGTCACAGAGGGGCTAAGGCATCCTGGAATGAGCTCTGGTCTTTCCAGAGGGCTCAGTAGGCCTGCTCCCGGCTTCAGAATAGGAAGGAGGAAGTGGTCCGAGAGCCACAGCCCCGAAGGGGAAAGGCCCGTGCTTCCTCCAAGAGGGAGGAGCCTACTCAGGCCCCACCCTCCCTCACAGGATCTGACCTTATGCTCCCAAGGGGGCAATGGGACCTAGAGGCAGTTTCTGGAGCCCTCCCATGGCTGATCTTGACCAGCCACAATTTCTCATAAGGCCCAGTGGATTTTACTTGAAATTTTCTCAGCAACTTCTTTTCTGCATCTGACCAGTGGCTCACTGCCATGAGGAAACCACTTTTTTCAAATTAAAAATAGATCACAAACCTGTTAAGGGCTAGCAGGGAGGAGTACAGAGCTGTTCTCACCTCCCCATCTGGGCTCTCATTTTAATGGCTACTGTCTCCACCTCCTTGCCCCAGGGGAGAGCAGCTTCCTCCCCGAAACTCTGATAATAACAGCTAACGCACACTCTTTTTAGTGCTTTACAAGCATTTTCTCATTTAATCCCACAATAACCTTATGAGGCAGCCCCATTACTACCTCCATTTCACAGAAGAAAAAACTGAGGATCAGAGAGGTCAAGTAACCTGACCAAAGTCACCCAGTAAGGACACAAAAGAAGTCAGATGTCCAAAGCAAAGGTGAGCTGCCTACAGTTCCAGCAGAGATTTGGTTGAGAACCTGGATTCTTGTTGCGTCATCCCCAGACTGCCCTGCTCTTAGCGTGCTGGGTTGTCTCTGCTGGAAGCTTCCCCTACCACCCGGTCTCCCAGCCCTTCCACAACAAATGCCCATCTCTTAATCCCCCTTACAACTTTACTGGCCCTTCAGGGCTCTCCCAATGGGTTCCAGTCTCACTGGTCCTGAAGCAGGGAGCTCCATTGAGACTCATCTTTGTCCTCAAAGCCTAGGGACTGGGCCTTAGTCATCTGGGTCCCTGATGGGCGTGGCACAGCTTCATGCCCCAGCACCTGTAAACCCCCGGGGGCTCACACACCCACCTGCCCCACCAGCTCAGAGCTTCGCCTGAACAATTTCTTCTAGCAGATGCCTGACTCCTTCCCCCAACCCTAAACTTCACCAATCCTCTCCACTTCTTTTCTTTTTTAAGATTGTATTTAGTTATTCATTTTTCTAAAGATTTATTGATTTGAGAGAGAGAAAGGGAGAGAGAGCATGTGAGGGCAAGGGCAGAGGGAGAGAATCTTCACGAAGACTTCCTGCTGAGCACAGAGCCCAAGGGCGGGGGTGGGGGGTGGGGAGAATGGGACTGGACTCAATCCCACCGCCCATGAGATCATGACCTGAACCAAAATCAGGTCGCAGATGCTCAAGAAGGACAGAGCCACCCAGGTGCCCCTTCACTTCCTGTTTTCACATTTTATTATGGAGAAGTTAGAACACATGCAAAAGTAGACAGCATAACATAATGCGCTTGTATGAACCAATAACCCAGACCCAACAACCATCAACTCATGGCCAGTCCTGCCTCATTTGCAGCCACATTCATTCCCCCTTATCTGGAAGCAAATACTCAATGTCAGATGATCGCTCCTATAAATGTTTTGGTGTGTATCTAAAAGATAAGGAAACATATATATATACTACACGCACACATCCGTGTATGGTAATATTATTCCCTATATGCATACACACATATGCTACATACATGTATATGCCTATACATAAGACAGTACTACCATTTCCATACCCCAAGAGATATTTACCAGTAATTCCTTGATGTAATCGAAAACTGAGTCAGCAAAGATCCAGTTGCTTCCTAAATGTCATCTCCAGCGGACTGAGTCCTCCCCAAAAATTCATCTGGTAACCCTAGCCCCCAGCGTGTCTGTATTGGGAAATCGGGCGTTTAGGAAGTAATTAAGCTTAAATGAGGTCATATGAAGAAGGTCCTTTTAAGGATTGGTGGCCTTCTAAGAAAAACAAGAGCAATCTCTTCACGCCCACCTCTCCCCACAGCCTGCACACCCTCTGAGGGGAGGCCATGGGAGGCTAACCAGGAAGAGAGACCTCACCGGAAACAGAACACCGCGAGTACCTTGATCTGGAACTTCAAGCCTCCAGATCGTAAGAAATAAATTCATGCTCTTTTTCAGCCTCTCAGGCTGTGGTATTTTTTTATGGCAGCCTGAGCAGACTCATCCATCATCATTTTTCTTTCTTTTTTTTTTTTTTTTAAATTTGGAGCTATGGGCCCCTGGCTGATTCAGTCGGTGGAACGTGTGACTCTTGATCTCAGGGTTCGTGAGGTCGAGACCCATGTTGGGGTTAGAGATAACTTAATAAAAAAAAAAATCAGGATTCAAATAAAGTCTAGACAAATAAAGTCTACAGTCAAATAAAGTCTACAATGTCCCACCTATGAACTCCCTTCCCACTCACAGGTTTACTTCATTCTTTTTGTTTTCCCACACAATACAGCTCAGAGGACACTGGGTTACTAGCCCTACAGGTCCCACGGTCAGGACTTTGCTGATTGCAGGGCTGACCCCTGGATTTCCTGTCCATGGTGGTTCAATCTAGAGGCTTTGCTCAGATCCATCTTTAACTGCCGCTTTTCCTGGACGTTTCCAGGTCTAGGGAGGACTCTCCTTGGTGCTCCTCTTCCCTAGACTGCAGGACCCAGTTGCTTCCTCGGCCTCCCACCGGACTGTACACGGGCTCCCTGTGGGCAGGGCAGGTCCTCAGGCCTGGATCCCCAGCCCAGCCCAGGCTCTGGAACATAGTAGGCCCTTAGGAGGCCTGTGGAATGGACAGATACAACACAATGCGCCCAGAGGCTTGTCTCAGCCCTCAGCTACCAGTACCTTGGGCTTCTAGAGCGGAATCTAGGCTCAAACAGCATTACCTGCACCTCCCGTGGGGCGGGGAGAGGGCACAGGGACATCTGACAGCCCAACTCTGAACGTGACACTGGAGCCATCAGAGTTGCATTGGCCCAGGAAGGAGAGCCATGGTGCCCACACCCAGAACAATCCTCCAGGGCTCTGTGTCCCTGGACCCCCACTTCCTCAGCTCCTCGCTGTTCCTCCTCCCTGACTTGTTCCTCACCTGCCAGTACCTCCCGAGGCTCCGTGCAGGCCCTGTGGCCTCGGCGACACACAGCCCGCACCACCCATTCAGAACCTGCCCCTGGGCTCCACAGGCACGTCTTCCTGCCCTCCCCACTCAGCCTCAGGACGCCCAGCACCTTCAGGACATCACCAGAGGCACGGCCCACCTTCACTGCCAACTCCAAGCCAGAAAAATTCCCAAATTCCTTGGTATGCCTTCCAGACCCTCCCAGTCTGGCTCTGATTAACCTTCCCGGCCATTTCATCCAGGTCTGGAATGGGACCTTGAGTGGTGGCTCTGTGCCATGTCACCCAAACTGAGCCAAACCACGGCTCTAGAATGCTGACCATGGATCCAGGAGGTTGCTGCGGCCACTGTGCTCGCTCCCGAGGCCATGCCAGTGTAGCTTACACTTGTTGAAGGGGGTCTGGGTTCTCCACCCAGGTCCCTCAGCCTGTCCAGCTCCCGGGACAGCTGGCTGGTTAGCTCCAGGACCAATGGTGCCGGCTGCTCCTGCAGGTCACCTGGGTCTTTGAGGTTGGTGGCTTGGAGGTGGCAGCCTGCCCTTCCTGCAGACCCCCAGCGCTTTTTCACTGGTTCAGTTCATTATTGCTCCCCCCATTTCACACCCACCCCCCGCCCCCACTGCCCGCCTGAGGAGCTTAGACTCACTCAGAGGCATGGATTCTTTAAGGAGCTGCCCTGGGGTGCCTGGGTGGCTCAGTTGGTTAAGTGTCCAACTCCTGATTTCGGCTCAGGTCATGATCTCGGGGTCATGGGATCGAGCCCCAGGTTGGGCTCCCGCTGGGCATGGAGCCCGCCTGGGATTTTCTTTCTCCCTCTGCCCTTCTCCCACTCCACCCTCTCTGTCAAAAAATAAAAAGAAAGGCTTAAAGAGCTTAAAAAGCTCTTTAAGTAGCTTCCCTGGGTAGAAGATCAAATCCCACACTCTCTATCACTCCTCGTTGCTCTGCTTCTTTTGTCAAATCCGACCTATTTGCTTTGCAAAGGCCAGTAACTGAGCTCCACTTTTCCTCATGTGTGGAATGGAGATCATGACAGAGTCACCCTCACATGGTGGGTGTGCACATTAAATGGGAGAGTAACATGTAAGGGCTACAAACATTCTTGCTCTTTTTTTTTCTAACAGATTTTATTTATTTATTAGAGAGAGATACAGCGAGAAAGGAAACACAAGCAGGGGGGTTGGTGAGAGAGAAGCAGGCTTCCTGCCGAGCAGGGAGCCCAATACAGGGCTCAATCCCAGGACCATGGGATCATGAACTGAGCCAAAGGCAGCTGCTTGATGACTGAGCCACCCAGGTGCCCCAACATTCTTGCTCTTGACCGAAGACCTTTGCTATGGTTACCTGCTGCCTTGACCAATCAGTTCCTTTTCCCTGGAAACAGCCTGTTCACTTCATCCAGGAAGCCTTCCTTGCTACCTACCATTGGCATTCCTTTTCCTCCTGAGAGACCTGGTATGCCTCTCTGTTTACTTTGATGTCTTCTTCCCCACGTCATTAAGGCACCCACGCAGTTACCAAGTATTTCTTGAGCACCTATTGTGTGTCAGCATTAGGCTTGAAGTTATAGATGAAACTCAGTCCCTTGCCCCTTATCTCATAGTTTAATTAGGAAGATGGGCCTGTTAACCACTAAAATATGATGTGGGAAATGCTCTGAACGAGGGTCCCAAAGAAGGGGCATCAAAGTCTGTAGAGAATAGTGGGTACTATGAAGGAAGTCTTCCTGGCAGAGGCAAACTGAAGGGTGAAGGATGAATTAATTCTCCAGGTGGACAAGGTAGGAAAAGGCATTCAAAACAAAGAATAGAAACACCCGGGGGCTCAGTGGGTTAAGCCTCTGCCTTCGGCTCAGGTCATGATCTCAGGGTCCTGGGATGGAGCCCCTGTCAG